TGGAATATCGTGTATTTTGAATTGCTATGGTTGTCAATGGGTCCAGGGTACCTATCCTAAAAGAATGGAGATATGATAAACGGATAACCGAGGATTGCTCATCAGCTATTGTGAGTCAATTAGCGGACAAAAAGTAAAGACCGGGCTACCGTCTTCGAGGCAAAGTGAGTGAGTATGGTTTTACGCCGCTTATAGCAATATTTTAGCAATATCACGGAATGGGCTTCACGCATTATAGCCATGTCGGGAATCGAACCGGGGTCTTCGGCGTGACGAGCGAACGCTTTTACCACTAGGCTACCCGACCGCCCCTCGAGACCCGTGAAGATTCCGGGCTAGAACAGGTCTTCAGCAACCCATGCTTGCCGTAAAAGGTGACTATGCTTGTCGTAAAAGGCGACTAACGGGATCGGGTGGTCAGGCTCGCTGACTTGGTTGATGCATGTCATCGATCCCAATTGCGTGGATCGATGCTCATGATATCAATCAATCGATTATTTACAGACCACCGTCATATAGCTGGAATATTGCTGAGTGCGGCGTTAAACAACAAACCAACCAACCAACCAACCGAGCGCCCCTCGAGGCAAAGGACATGTATGCACTTCAGAGCGTTGATTGTGAGACCATGGTTTATTGTCATTTCTATATTACAAAGGGCTCCCGTTAATTCAAACAATAACAAGAGCTGTGGACGTCCATCAGATGCTGTTTGTTGTAACACTGTAATCGATAGGGTTGGATAGAAACATACAGTCGCTGGGAAGTGGTGTTCTGCTCTTTGTGTTGATAGAACAAGGTCGATCTCGGTCTAAACTTTGAGATTGAATGTCTAATATATGTTGTCTGACACCATTCAAACATACAAACGAAAACGCCAGCCCAGTTTGATCTGTTACAGCTTAGTGTTCCTTTAAGGCGTGGGCGGTGTTAGAGGTAAGATATATATACATAGTACTGCAGCATGGGCGGACATATATATATATGTTCAATAGCTTTGTTTGTTTAGCGCCTCACTCAGCAATATTCAAGCTATATGACGGCGGTCGGTAAATAATCGAGTCTGGACCAGACAATCCAGTTATTGATATCACGAGCATCGATCCACGCAATTGGGATCGATGACATCCAAAAACCAAGTCAGCGAGCCTGACCACCCGATCCCGTTAGTCGCCTCTTACGACAAGCATAGTCGCCTTTTAAGGCAAGGATGGGTTGCTGAAGACCTATTTTACCCCGAATCTTCACGGAGCATGTTGAGGCACCTCCAGCCTGGCCACATCCCAGTGTGATCATGCAGCCGATCCTCATACGTCGGCTCCGAAAGGATGGATGCGAGGTCAAATCGGGTTTAAGTCGCGTCGAAAATTATTGCACTTATATAGCGACGTCCATGCACGTGTGTGTGTGTGTGTGTGTGTGTGTGTGTGTGTGTGTGTGTGTCTGTCTGCTTGTACTGTCCTGAATGATGCCGTTTTATAGTGCAAGACCACTGAGATACCATGCCGCAGTTTAACATGACTACCCGACTCAGACACAATATACTGACCCCGAGCTGACCAGTCCTTGTTTTAGCCCCTTAATGTGGAGCGCCAGGCAGGGTAACAACAAGTACCGTATTTTAACGTCTTTTGGTATGACGCGTCCGTGGATCGACTATACCAGCCCTTTGCCAGAACGTGTCCTGGTTAAGGCGTAATTATGTTGTGACTTGGGTATATACGGGGGACCGCTTGCAGGTTCATCTCAACCCATCTGGTCTAAAGCTAGTCTCTCTTACATACCTCTGCGTACATATTTAATAAAACATTCACCCCATCCCACTCAGCTCTAGCAGCCTATACTCTGAAATTCTGAATACGCCTATGTCATACATGTAACCTTTATTTCAAGGACCATATGCAAGTCCGTGTTTAGCGACACAAACATAAAATACACGACACATGTAATAAGGTATACAGGGCATTGAAATTTGTACAAATGTGTATGTGGCGATGCACTGTGAGGTGGTGAACTAACAATTGTTACCAAGCGAGTGTGCGAACCTTGTCCTAGTTAAGGCTTAGTTTTGTTGAGACTCGGGTTATACATAGGGGCAAAGTACAAGGCCATCACTCCTACGCGCGTTGGATTTGTTGATTTGTTTGTTTGTTGTTTAACGTCGAACTCAGCAATATTACAGCTATATGACGGCGGTCTGTAAATTATCAAGTCTGGACCAGACAATCCAGTGATTGACATCATGAGCATCGAACCAAGCAATTCGGATACGATGCCATGAATCAACCAAGTCAGCGAGCCTGACTACCCCATTAGTTAGTCGCCTCTTACGACAAGCATAGTCGCCTTTTACGGCATGGGTTGCTGAAGACCTATCCTACCCCGGATCTTCATAGGTCACGCGTGTTGAATGTTCACAACATCTTGTATTATCTTGTATCAGGTACGTGTGTCACTACATGTTGTGTCAGGTACGTGTGTCACTACATGTTGTGTCAGGTACGTGTGTCACTACATCTTGTGTCACTACATCTTGTGTCACTACATCTTGTATCAGGTGCGTGTGTAACTACATCTTCTGTTACTACATCTTGTGTCAGATAAGTCTCACTACATCTTGTATCAGGTACGTGTGTCACTACATCTTGTGTTAGGTACGTGTGTCACTACATCTTGTGTCAGGTACGTGTGTCACTACATCTTGTGTTAGGTACGCGTGTCACTACATCTTGTGTCACTACATCTTGTATCAGGTACGTGTGTCACTACATCTTGTATCAGGTACGTGTGTCACTACATCTTGTGTCAGGTACGTGTGTCACTACATCTTGTATCAGGTACGTGTGTCACTACATCTTGTGTCAGGTACGTGTGTCACTACATCTTGTGTCAGGTACGTGTGTCACTACATCTTGTGTCAGGTACGTGTGTCACTACATCTTGTGTCAGGTACGTGTGTCACTACATCTTGTGTTAGGTACGTGTGTCACTACATCTTGTATCAGGTACGTGTGTCACTACATCTTGTATCAGGTACGTGTGTCACTACATCTTGTGTCAGGTACGTGTGTCACTACATCTTGTGTCAGGTACGTGTGTCACTACATCTTGTGTCAGGTACGTGTGCCACTACATCTTGTGTCAGGTACGTGTGTCACTACATATTGTGTCACTACATCTTGTATCAGGTAATTGTGTCACTACATATTTTATCAGGTACGTGTGTCACTACATATTTTATCAGGTACGTGTGTCACTACATCTTGTGTCACTATATCTTGTACCAGGTACGTGTGTCACTACATCTTGTATCAGGTACGTGTGTCACTACATCTTGTGTCAGGTACGTGTGTCACTACATCTTGTATCATGTACGTGTGTCACTACATCTTGTGTTAGGTACGTGTGTCACTACATCTTGTATCAGGTACGTGTGTCACTACATCTTGTGTCAGGTACGTGTGTCACTACATCTTGTGTCAGGTACGTGTGTCACTACATCTTGTGTCACTACATCTTGTATCAGGTACGTGTGTCACTACATCTTGTGTCAGGTACGTGTGTCACTACATCTTGTGTCAGGTACGTGTGTCACTACATCTTGTGTCACTACATCTTGTATCAGGTACGTGTGTCACTACATCTTGTATCAGGTACGTGTGTCACTACATCTTGTGTCAGGTACGTGTGTCACTACATCTTGTGTCAGGTACGTGTGTCACAACATCTTGTGTCAGGTACGTGTGTCACTACATCTTGTATCAGGTACGTGTGTCACTACATCTTGTATCAGGTACGTGTGTCACTACATCTTGTGTCGGGTACGTGTGTCACTACATCTTGAATCAGGTACGTGTGTCACTACATCTTGTGTCACTATATCTTGTATCAGGTACGTGTGTCACTACATCTTGTATCAGGTACGTGTGTCACTACATCTTGTGTCAGGTACGTGTGTCACTACATCTTGTATCAGGTACGTGTGTCACTACATCTTGTGTCAGGTGCGTGTGTCACTACATCTTGTATCAGGTACGTGTGTCACTACTTCTTGTGTCAGGTACGTGTGTCACTACATCTTGTATCAGGTACGTGTGTCACTACATCTTGTGTCAGGTACGTGTGTCACTACATCTTGTGTCAGGTACGTGTGTCACTACATCTTGTATCAGGTACGTGTGTCACTACATCTTGTGTCACTATATCAGGTACGTGTGTCACTACATCTTGTGTCAGGTACGTGTGTCACTACATCTTGTGTCAGGTGCGTGTGTCACTACATCTTGTATCAGGTACGTGAGTGACTACATCTTGTGTCACTATATCTTGTATCAGGTACGTGTGTCACTACATCTTGTGTCAGGTACGTGTGTCACTACATCTTGTGTCAGGTACGTGTGTCACTACATCTTGTGTCAGGTACGTGTGTCACTACATCTTGTGTCAGGTGTGTGTGTCACTACATCTTGTGTCAGGTACGTGTGTCACTACATCTTGTATCAGGTACGTGTGTCACTACATATTGTATCAGGTGCGTGTGTCACTACACCACTACATTTTGTATCAGGTACGTGTGTTACTATATCTTGTATCAGGTACGTGTGTCACTACATCTTGTGTCAGGTACGTGTGTCACTACATCTTGTGTCAGGTACGTGTGTCACTACATCTTGTGTCAGGTACGTGTGTCACTACATCTTGTGTCACTACATCTTGTATCAGGTACGTGTGTCACTACATCTTGTATCAGGTACGTGTGTCACTACATCTTGTGTCGGGTACGTGTGTCACTACATCTTGTGTCAGGTGCGTGTGTCACACATCTTGTGTCGGGTACGTGTGTCACTACATCTTGTGTCAGGTACGTGTGTCACTACATCTTGTGTCAGGTACGTGTGTCACTACATCTTGTATCAGGTATGTGTGTCACTACATCTTGTGTCAGGTACGTGTGTCACTACATCTTGTGTCAGGTGCGTGTGTCATTACACCACTACATTATGTATCAGGTACGTGTGTCACTATATCTTGTATCAGGTATGCGTGTCACTACATCTTGTGTCAGGTACGTGTGTCACTACTTGGTTAGGTACGTGTGACATTTTGGGACAGGCATTATACCACCCAAACAGGAGCCATACTACCTCAACATACCACCCAAACAGGAGCCACACTACCTCATCATACCACCCAAACAGGAGCCACACTACCTCATCATACCACCCAAACAGGAGCCAGACAACCTCACCATACCACCCAAACAGGAGCCACACTACCTCATCATACCACCCAAACAGGAGCCATACTACCTCAACATACCATCCAAACAGGAGCCACACTACCTCACCATACCACCCAAACAGGAGCCATACTACCTCATCATACCACCCAAACAGGAGCCTGACTACCTCACCATACCACCCAAACACGAGCCTGACTACCTCACCATACCACCCAAACAGGAGTCAGACTACCTCACCATACCACCCAAACAGGAGCTAGACTACCTCACCATACCACCCAAACAGGAGTCAGACTACCTCACCATACCACCCAAACAGGAGTCAGACTACCTCACCATACCACCCAAACAGGAGTCAGACTACCTCACCATACCACCCAAACAGGAGCCAGACTACCTAACCATACCACCCAAACAGGAGTCAGACTATCTCACCATACCACCCAAACAGGAGTCAGACTACCTCATCATCTCCTGGCAGGACTTAACTGGGCCTGCAACTTGACACAAGTCAGCTCCAGACACATCTACAAACAGTTGAATAAAACTGGGTCACAAACTTGACTGGGCACATTAAGGACTCAGAGACCACTCCATACAACAACACAACTTCAAGCACATAAGGCATCCCTTGCCAGGCCCTCGTTTCATAAGCAACTTATCGTGACAAATGTTCACTAGTCGGGAACAAGTGAGTCGGGGAATGTTGTTTTACGCCGCAGTCAGCCATCTTCAAGCTATATCATAGGGGCCTGTGAATAATCTGACCCATGCAGACTAGGGGTTGATAGCATGAGCAATAACCCACATAGTCCTGATCAATGTATGAGTGAGTGGGGGGCAGTGGGTTAGCCTAGTGGTAAAGCGTTTGCTCATCATGCCAAAGATCTGGGTTTGATTCCCCACATGGGTACAATGTGTAAAGCCCATTTCTGGTGTTCCCCACCGAGATATTGCTGGAATATTGCAAAAAGCATCGTAAAATACAACTCACTTACTCACTATGAGTGAGTGAATATTTTAGAATCACAACGTGTCTATTTCATCTGGAAGGAAAGCCTGAAGTGATCAAGGTCTTAGATGTTTATCACGTTCGTGAAACCATGAACATGGACTTGGTTCCGATCAATGACATACAATCAACCGGGTCACACATTCTAACCACTCAGTCCTCTCCTCAGTCCTCCCCCGTGAAGATCACAGTTAGAAATGATCTTCGGAAAGCTGTGCTTGACGTAAGAGTGAGTGAATGAGTGAGTTTGGTTTTACGCCAATTTTAGCAATATTCAAGCAATATCACGGCGTAGGACACCAGAAATGGGCTTCACACATTGTACCCATGTTGGGAATCGAACCTGGGTCTTCGGTGTGATGAGCTAACGCTCTAATGACTAGGCTACCCGACCACCCTGCTTGACGTAAGAGGCAATTAACGGGATCAGGTGGTCAGGCTCGCTGAATTGGCGGATGCATGTCATCTTATACCAAAAGCATAGATTGATTCTCATGATGTCAGTCACTGGACTGTCTGGTTCTGACTCGATTTGTTACATCCTGCCGTTATATAGCTTGAATATTGCTGAGTGAGGTGTTAAACAAACAACTAGGTAACCAAATTCAAAACTAAAAATTTAAAAAAATCTTAAAATATGGTGTACTGGAGACTCCTGTTTCAGAATCTCTCTGCATTAATACATCCCAATCTAACTCAGCTGACAGACATACTGCTAGCACCAGACTGGTAGACAGCCATTTCCATCACAGCTGCAGATCCTAAAGCTACCGCTGTATCAGATGTAGATAATGCTGCTTGTAAGCCAGAAGGTAATCAATTCATCTCATAAATAATTCTGTATTATCAATACCTGTGGCCAGGTGTGGATCTGCTCCTGTACAAATATACCATCTACTGCAACATCTCCGCATAGGCAGTCACTGGGCTTCCATGCTATAGCTGGCACAAAACAGACAATCCATCTCCTCCCAAGGGGATGTTAAATTTAATCGTTTAACATTTGCTAACATTTTGTGTACAGAGTGTATTTGTTTTGGAAATATGTCAGAACAGAAATAAAAATTAAAAAAAAATTCTTATGGTATAGAATTTCTGGACATGCCAAACAGAATGCAAAATGATTTGTTTTCCTTAAATTTAAAAAAAATCAACTTTTGCAAAATTTGAGTAGACTTGGTCAGACCTTGCATTTTTCTCTTGCGAAATTGTTTTTTTGAGATGTATTGAAGAGAATTAGAGCAGTGTCATACCAGCAGCATTCATCCATGCAGTAATCGGACAAAACAGGTTAACACAGACAGGTAAACAAAAGCCTTCCCTGGTACAGACAACCAGGCAAGTCTACCATCTATATTATTATCCTGTCAGTAGTTAACCTGCCTGCTCATCCACGACACCAGGGTCCTCATGGGACATCCTTGGTTTGTTCCAACCTAGAATCTATCGCTGCAACATTTCTGTTACAAGATATACAAATATAAACATTGATGGTTTAACATGCTGTCAGACTCAATGGCGCCTAACAGGGAGTGATAAAGGTTTTATTCCACTAGCATAATCAGCATAAGCAACCAGGGACTACAGCACTACTTCAGCACTTGGATTTTGTGTGCACAATTTTGCAACATCACATTCTTTAGTTATCAAACTCACGTCGTGGGTGTCCTGGGTAAGACTGTAGGTCCGCAGCCACCTTATATATAATGCTGGTTGTAAGGGGTGACGAAATGGATCGAGGGTCAGGTTTGGTCACCTGGGTGACTGCATATCATTGGGTCCCTAATTCATGGATTGCTGCTCATGATGTCAATCACTAGATTGTCTGACCCAGACTCAAATTTGGGATATGATGATATGCATCAACCAAATCAAGGAGTCTGACCACCCGATCACTTTAGTCGTTTCTTACGTAAAGCATAGGTTGCTTAAGACCAATTCTGACCTTCATAGCGGTAATATGTTGACACAAGATGCATCAACATCAAGGTGTGTTTTGGATACACTTGAAGAGAGATTATTGTAAATAAATTGGTTTGTTTGTTTGTTGTTTAATGCCTCACTCAGCAATATTCCAGCTTTATGACGGCGGTCTGTAAATAATCAAGTCTGGACCAGACAATCCAGTGATTGACATCATGAGCATTGACCTATTCTACCTCGGATCTTCACGGGTCTGGAGACTTGGTAATCAGCCATGTCAGAAGAGCAGAGTTAATTCAAAACCAGTAAGTATATTTTTCATGCTTGTCATCTATGTAATATTACTTCTGTTCCATCCAGAAATGGGCTTCATATATTGTACCCAAGTGGAAAAAAGATCCAGTTCTTTAGTGTGATGAGCGAAAGCATTAACCACTGGGCTACCCTATGGACCCCTCCAAAATGATCCATGGAACAAACTCAATGATCCTAAGTCATGGATGGCAACACATCCTTCACTGAATGGTCACATATAGCTCATATTGATGATCAGGACACAACAATGATCAAAGAAAGTATTCCTTTAGAAAAGTATGGAGACATGTGCTCCTATTTTTTACTTCTCTAAATGTTGTTAAGGTAGGGCACTAAAAACTTCTATTAAGTCGTACGATACATTGTTAGTAAGTATCGGAAATATCGTACATCGGTTGACTTGAACTTTGAGTGCGTGAATGAATATTGTTTGAAGCCACTTTTAGCAATATTCCTGCAATATCAAGGCCAGGGACACCAGAAAGCGGCTTCACATTTTGAACCAATGTTTGGAATCGAACCTGGGTCGTTGGCATGACGAGCGAATGCTTTAACCACAAGGCTACCCAACTGCGCCGCTTGAACTTTGAAGTTTACTGAACCTCACACTACTTGACGACCTCTTGACATCGACCTCCTGCAGTATCACTACAGGGACCCCTGGCAGTAAGAGGCCTCACTCTGGAAGTGCTCACTGCACATTCCATGGCAATATCTACATTGGTAACACAACAAATAGGCCAAAATAATGGCTTTTGTGTTTTGTTGGTGGGTTACAGAGTTAGTATGGTTTTATACCGTTTTTAGCAATATTCTAGCAATATCACGTTCTCCACACCAGAACAAGGCTTCACACATTGTACCCATGTAGGGGAATGAACCTGGCTTTTTGGTGTGATGAGGGAACGCTTTAACCACTAGGCTACCGGTGGGTTCAGGGAAATGGATGCACTAATGTGATTTACAGTGAGCGAAGAGATAGACGCAGACCAACCGTTCAATATTCTGTGGCTGGGTGTCTGGGAGTTATGTTTGAGACTGACAGTCACTGCTTAAAAACGTGGAATATATATAAAAAAAGAAAAGAAAAATCTTTTTCAGGATATCTGGCATGCCCAGCAACAATTTGCTGTTTTTTCAAGTTTGTTCAAGAAAAATTATTCCATTCCATCCCCACCCAGGTCACAATATAAGTGCAATAATATTTAACGCAACGTTAAACCCCATTTCACCTCACCTACATCACAACCTGTGGTATAAAGTCATAGTAGCACCTGAAGTTATCCACTGAACAGGAATGCACTTTAACTGAAGGTAATAACTCTACATGCATGATTTTAATTATTTTCTAAGTTATGGACGCAATAACATTGGTTGGTTTGTTGTTTAACGCCGCACTCAGCAATATTCCAGCTATATGACAGCGGTCTGTTAATAATCGAGTCTGGACCAGACAATCCAAAGATTAATATCATGAGCATCGATCCACACAATTGGGATACGATGACATGCATCAACCAAGTCAGCAAGTCTGACCACCCGATCCCGTTAGTCGCCTTTTACGACAAGCATAGTCGCCTTTTACGGCAAGCATGGGTTGCTGAAGATCTATTCTACCTGCAATAACAAATGGAAATCATAATGTTCTCTAAAGAATAATTCTTTTCCAAAGGAAATAAACACACTTGACCCGTGAAGATCCGGGGTTTTATCGGGGTTTATTATCGGGGTTTATTATCAGTATTATTGTTGTTGTTGTTGTTATAGCATTTGTCTTGCATTTCCGACAGTACTTTAGATGGTGACGACTGTCTGAACAAGCAATGTGTGCCCAGGGTATTTATCCTAGTAGAATGGATACATAGTACGCTGGTCATGCAAAGTTACTATGCACACTCTTCAACAAGGTAAGCAGACCTTGTGGACCATGGAATCAAAACTCGCTCGCTCACTCACTCACTCACTCACTCACTCACTCACTCACTCACTCAGAATAGGTCTTCAGCAACCATACTTGCCGTGAAAGGCGACTTTGCTTGTCGCAAAAGGCGACTAACGGGATCGGGTGGTCAGGCTCGCTGACTTGATAGATGCATGTCATCGATCCAAATTGTGTGGATCGTACCCATGATGTTAATCACTGGATTGTCTGGTCCAGACTCGATTATTTACAGACCCCTGTCATATAACTGGAGTATTGCTGAGTGTGGTGTTAAACAACCAACCAACCAACCAACCAACCAAATAAACACACC